TGTCTTCAATCTGTGAGATTCTTTCTTCTGTTTGATCTACCCTGTTCTTGAGGCTTTCCACGTTGTTTTGTTGTTCCCTGTATACGTCCTTTATTTCCAGGAGATCGGTTTGATTTTTTGTTAATATTTCAATTTCTTTAGTGAATTTTTCTTCCAAGTTCTGGATTTTTTTTGTGGTTTCTTTGTGTTGGTCATCCATTTTTTCTTGGATATCATTCAGTTTTCTTGCAATCCATGTTTGAAATTCTTCTTCTGTCATTTTAGTGTTCTGAGTTTGGTTAATGTCCATTGCTGGGGAGCTGTTGTTCCTCTTTGGGAATGTGCCTTCCGTTTGAGTCTCCATACTTCCAGAGTTCTTTCGCTGGCTCCTTCCCATCTGGATCAGTTGTTCCTTCTTGCCTTTAAATTTTCATTTGGAAATGACACACTCTGTTTAGTCTCTGAGCCAGTAGGTGGTGTTTGTGGGTGAGATTCGACCACACCCTTTATGATGAATCAGTAGATGCAGTAAAAGGGTATGCGGGATGACCTCCCTGTCTGTAGGTGGCACTTGCAGAGAGGAGCAAGCTGAAATGCTGTTTTTGGGTCCTGTAGCTAGCTCTTATTCCTCTAGAGAGGCCCTCTTGTGCCTCGCGTGGTGGATGGGGCCTTATGATTTCCAGGTGTGTCCTTATTCTCCCCCTCAGTGGGAGGAGTGAATCTGGGTGGGGCTGGGTTGGGCAAGCCTGCCCTCAGGCTCCACAACTGCTGCTAGCAGGTTCAAAGGTCTACTCTTTGTTTCTGTGCAAAGCTGCCGGAAGGGGCTGAAATGGCTCCACTCAGCTGACAGTCTGGGCTTGGGGGGTGGGGCTGTCCAAGACCCGCACTCTGGAGCAGGTCTCGCTCCCCTCCACTCTCCCCCTCTCCGTGGCCTCTCCCAGGCCTCTGCCAGCAAGCGGGACCTCAGGCCGATGGATGGCCCCTGGCTGTGATGTGGGCGGGGAGATCCCTACCCAGGATCATAGCCTGAGCTGTCCTTATTCTCCCCTGTAGTGGGGGCTGGATCTGGAGTGAGTCTGGGTGGGGCTGGGTTGGATAAGCCTTCCCTCATGCTCCAGAGCTGCTGGTAGCTGGGGCCAAAGTTCTGGTCTTTGTTTCTGTGCAGAGCTGCCGGGAGGGGCTGAAATGGCTCACTCAGCTGAAAGTCTGGGCGTGGGGGGTGGGGCTGTCCAAGACCCGCACTATGGAGCAGGTCTTGCTCCCCTCCAATCTCCCCCTCTCCATATCCTCTCCCAGGCCTCTGCCAGCAAGCGGGGCCTCAGGCTGATGGATCTCCCCTGGCTGTGTCGTGGGCCGGGAGGTTCCCTACCCAGGATCGTAGCCTGAGCTGGGTGCACAGCCCATTTTTAGGAGGAGGGCCACTGGTCAGGCACGCTGATCCGCCCCTGAAGGCACACACTCCTCAGTAGGCTCTTTCACAGATCTCTCCTCCGTGCCCCAGGGCAGTGCAATCGTGACCTGGGCGTATGGGGGTCTGGTCTGTAGGCCTGTCGCCTGGACCCTGGAGATCAATCCCTGACCCTGCCAGGGGAAGAGGTGCTGGTCTTGAATCACCTCCAGGGTGCCCAAGCTGGATTGATTTCACTCCACCTCGGGATTTGCCCCGCTCTCCTGGAGTCCTCAGGCAAGTAGCACCTTGGAGGGCTGGTGGGTAGGGAACTCGCAGTCTGAGTACCCCTCAGTCTGCTGTAGGGCCCCAAAAGGAAAGGTCCTGTTCCTTGGAGATGCCTCCGTGTGATGGCTAAATTGTCTCTCTGGGCACGTCCGGGTAGGGAGGGGGAAGGAGAGAATGGAGTACTATGGCGTCTGCCACTAGTCTCAGGTCTGCGCCCGTGGAAGTGCCCCAAGGGGGCTGGGAGCCAGGCGCTGAGTCCGCAAGAGGCCACTGCTCACTGGCGGCAGCCGTCTCTGAGCTGGTGTCGGCAGGTCTCTCCAGCCGCTCAGGAGCCCACCAGCAGTCCGAGATGCAGGGGAGGGGGAAGTTAACCGCTCCACCTACTCTTGTCGCTGGTCTCCAAGCCTCTCGGGACCTTTCTCCTTTCAGTTCTCCTCTGCAACGTCTTCCTGTGGAGTCTCCTGTAGTTTCAGGCACCCTTCCTCTGACCCTCACCCAATCTATGTTTCTCTGCTCGCTTATTTTTTTTCTCTGTCTTCTAAAATTCATCTTTTTTGCAGAGACCTTCTGACTGGTGGCTTGTCTCATCTGCCATCTTGGCCCAGGTGTCTTTTTTATAGAGTGTCTTTTGTTCTTTT